GAGAAGGATTGCCTGGCTCCTGGAGATGCTGCCCAAATTCCATCCTGCAGGCAGAGGGGGCCCTGACTCTTCAGCTCTTGGCCTGGATCAGCTGCCAGGACTGACAGTCTCCTCCATGGTGTGCCCACCCCAGGCAGTCCCCCATAATGGCTTTAGAGCTGGAGAGGCCCCAAAAGACCATCTGGTCGGGTTCCTCATATTAGGGATGCACACACCAAGGCCCAGGGAATGAGACGACTGGTCCAAGACCACGCTCACAATGGCCTCCAAACACCTGCTGGTGAAAGGGTTGAGCCCTTCGGATAAAGGCTCAGATGTGGGCCTCACTTTCATCTCCAGCCCCATCTCCTGCCAGTCCCTGAAATGGCTTGAATAGCTCTAGGGACTTTGAAGTTCTCCTGCTATTGCCCCCTATTGCCTGGGCCCCCACCATATGCACAGGCCCAGGCTGTACCTCAGCTCTCGCCCAGGCTTATGCCAACCCCCTCCTTCCTCTGCTTTGGCTCATTTTTATGATTCAGCTCAGATACCCTCTTCTCCAGGAAGGCCGCCCTGATATTCCCTAGCTGGGTTAGTTGCCTATTCTGGGTGCCTGAGCACATCTCTAGGGCCTCACTTGCCACATTTATTGTGATCTATTTGGGATCTATCTCCCCACCATGACCACAAGGAGCTCTTCAAGGGCTAAGAAAAAAGTTATCTAGGTATTTCTAGTAACTCACTTGTTGAATGGATGAATGAACAAATCAGAGGCTAGGTGACAGTCACTGCAATGGAGTAGAAAGAAAGAATCTCAGGCGAAGAATCAGGAGATCTTTGCAGTTTATTATTTATATACCACTGGACAAATCTCTTACCATCTTGAGAGTTCAGTTTCCTCATCTGCAAAATGGTGCGATTTGACTGTATCTCAGTCAGCTGTTGCTAAGTAACAAACAGCCATAGACTCTGAGTGACATACAGCAATAAGCATTATTTGACTCCTCCAACTGTTTGCAGTTGCCTGGGCGACCAGGTGGCCGGCTGGGTCTAGCTCTGCTCCATCTAGCTCTCTCCTTCCTTGGACTAGTGGGATAGCCAGGTCATGTCTTCAAGTGGTGATGGCAGAGGCCCAAGAAGAAAACTGGAAACATGAAGAGGTTCCTGAAGGCCAGGAACGGGCACCTTTGCCCATATCCCATTGGCCAAAGCTTGTCCCATGACTGATTCCAAATTTAAAGAGCAGGAAGACACTCAGCTTCTGTACAGAGAGACTGCAAAGTCACATGAGAGAGGTGTAAAAATCAGGACCGACAAATCAGTCTGTGCTGGGCTTACATGGTCTCTGAAGACCCTGTGAGACCTGGCAGGCTGCCATCCTCTGAGGTGTTCCCATCCATTCTCCCCTGCTCTGTGCCCCCTCCTGCCTCCTGAACTTCCCCTGCCTCTTTCTGTCAGCTTGGCCTAGCTCTCTTCCAGTGGAAAGTCTGTGAGTACAATTCTGTCTTCTCCCCATCTCAGCCTGTGCTTTTCGCCTGTATGAAATCTCCACTGAAATCTACTCCCTCCATCAGCAAAAGCACAACTGCTCACTTGTTCTCTCAAACCTAAAACCTGGGGGCGCCTGGGTGGCTCAGTCATTAAGCGTCTGCTTTCCACTCAGGTCATGATCAAGCCCGGGATCAAGCCCCACACTGGGCTTCCTGCTCAGAGGGGAGTCTGCTTCTCCCTCTCCCTGCTCTTTCTCTCTCTCTCTCACTCTCAACTAAATAAAATCTTAAAAAAAAACCCAAAAACCTAAAACCTGGACATTAGCCTCCCTCTCCCTCTCCCCCCTTCTAGGCTCTCACCAAGCTCCTCGGGTGGGTTTCACCTCCCAGCTCCCTCCTGACCCTGCCACCTCCTCTGGTTCCATCTGGCCCAGGTACCCGCATATCCGTCCCCATCATCCGGCCTCTGAGTCTAGGCCTTGCCCCCTCCAAAGACATCGGCCATGCTGTTAACTGTAAAATCTTTGTAAAGGCAGAGCCAAATGTTTCAAGAACGCTTTTCTGGGTCTTCACTGCCAATGGCAGGGGCATCCAGGCAGGAAATATTAAGGCCATGAAGGGATGGGTGGGTGAATTGTGCTTCCCCATAAAGATATGTTGGAGTCCTAACCCCAGTACCTCATAATGTGACCTTATTTGGCAGTAAGGTCTTTACAGAGGTAATCAAGTTACAATGAGGCCATTAGGGTGGGCCCTAATCCAATATAACTGATGTCCTTATAAAAAGGGGAAGTTTGGACACAGACAGACATGCATGTTGGGAAGACAATGGGAAGACACGGGGAGAATGACATCTGCAATAATGCCCGAGGCTACCAGAAGCCAGGAGAGAGGCATGGAACAGATCTCACAGCCCTCAGAAGGAACCAACCTTGCTGATGCCTTGATCTTGGACTTCCAGTCTCCAGAACTGTCGGTTCTGTGAGACAATACATTTCTGTCACTTAGGCCACCCAGTTTGTTGCTCTTTGTCACTAGGCAGCCCTAGGAAACGAATACAATTGGGGGGAGTGGGGGAAAACAAAACATTAGCAAAGCAGGGGGAAAGGTAAGTGGGAGGCATTAGGGAGTGGCGGAGACTCTGGCAAACTGGAGAGACCATGAGCTGGTGAAAGGGGCCTCCAGTTGCTTACTGCCACATAGGGCTGAAAGCCTGGTGTAATTGGAGCTTCAGACTTTTTAAGGAACCCGGGAATCTAGATTTAGATTTTTATGTGAAATCAGTTCATCTTTTAATGTTGGCTAAATGATACAAAACAAAAATCTGTGGGACAGAATTGGCCTGCAGGCTGCCAGGGTGTGACTCTGGGTGGGGAGCGGAGACTGACAAACTGGAGCCACTGCCCAGATCTGGGCTATGGTTGTTTTTATAAATAAAATTTACTGGAACACAAACATGCCCGTTCATTTACATACTGACTGCGGCCGGCCGCTTTCACGCTGTAAAGGCAGAGCTAAGAAGGTGCGAGAGAGACTGTATGGTCCACAAAGCCTGAAATACTTGCTCTCTGGTCCTTTACACAAGAAGTCTGTCAACCCCTGGCTTAGAGGATAAATCCAAACCGGTTGGTGTAAAACCACGCCCTTCCTTGTCGGTCACTCACGCGGCCTGCCTCTCCACGGTTCATACACACTGTCCGGCAGCACCGAACTTCTTTAGTTGCCAGATGGGTCCCCACAGGGGCAGTGCGCTTGTCCACGCCGTCTGCGTCCATCCCTGACGGCCGCTCTCCCCTTATCTGCCTCAGAGCAGGGGCTGGTCTTCCAGGCTCAGCTCCGAGGCTGCCTGGAGGCACTCTTTCCATGCTCCGTCACACAGACTCTGCAACCCTCTTGTTCTCACTTGCTGCGCTCTGCGTCCTCAGGAGACCATAAGCATCTTGGGGGGCCGGGCCTGCCCTGGTGGCAGCCTTGAGTACTGTGGGCTCAGCCCCAGCCTGTCCCATTGGCCAGGGGTTCAGGGGGAAAGAGAAAAGGAGCAAAGGAACAGAGGTGCCAGAGATGGCTCATCTGCAGGAACCACACCCTCCCGGGCACTCCCGCACCCCTTGGGTGCCCCCCCACCCCACCCCACAAGGGAGCTGAGCTCCTGGTGTCCTCTCCCCCTCTCACACTGCAAAATCTCTCACCAGACAAAGGAGTTTGTGCTCTGCCAGCTGTAACCCCCAGCACACCTCCACCATAGTGAGAGACACTAAGCCTGGATGAGCGTGTCCTCCCTACGGGTGCTCATTTGTTAGTTCGTTTGTTCGTTCGTTCATTCATTTACTTGATACATTTTCATGCAGACCCAAGCCGGTAAAAAACAATGTTCTGGAATAGTAGGAAAGCAAATATGATTAAGAAGTGGCCCCGAATGGACTACATTGTACTCCCATTTCTCCCTCTGCCCTGTCTCCACCAACAAGCTCCCCGAGAGCTGAGTGCATCTCCTGACCCCTCAGCTTGGGGCTTGGCCAATGGGACTTGCCGTGCCCAATGGCAGATGGGTGGAAGTGACAGCTCAGAAGGCGCCGTGTGTTTCCTCCTTGTTTTGCTGTACATCTCTGTCCCTGCCTGGGAAAAGCCCAGTCGGCTGGCTTGCTGGTCCAAGGGGATGCGAGACACATAAGCAGAGCCACCCCAGCCAACACGGATGCCCAGCGAGACACAGAGGTGACCCAGCAGCCAACTGCTCAGCTGAACCCAAGCTGATCCCCAGATGCATGAGTGACGATAAAGAAGTGTTGCTTTCAGCCACTGAGTCTTGGAGCGATTGTTACATGCAATTGGTAATCCAAACTGTCCTGTCCTCTAGATGTCTCCACTAGTAGAGGAAATAAACCAAGTCCCCAGGGTAACCGGCATATAAGGCAGGTGGGCCAACTGTTTTCTGTTTGGCACCTACGGTAGGCAGCATAATGGCCCCCCAGTGATGTCCACAGTCTAACCCCCAGAACTCAGGAATATCTTAGATTACTCAGCAGAGAGAATTAAGGTTATAGATGAAATTAAGGTTGATAATCAACTGATCTTAAAATAAGAGTATCCTGGATTCTTTGGATGGGCCCAAAGTAATCACAGGGGCCTTAAATGGGAGAGAGAGGAGGGCAGAGGATGAGAACCAGAGAGATGGTAACGTGAGGCTGGCACCAACGCTGCCTTTGGAGATGGAGGAAGAGACCATGAGCTAAGGAATGCAGGCAGACTCTAGAAGCTGGTAAAGGCAAGGAAACAGATTCTCGCCCAGAACCTCCTGGAAGGAATGCAGCCCTGACATGTGAGACTCATTTTGGACTTCTTCTTTTTTTTTTTTTTTTAAAGATTTTATTTATTTTTGACAGAGAGAGAGAGCACAAGCAGGGGGAGCAGCAGAGAAAGAGGGAGAAGCAGACTCCCTGCTGAGCAAGGAGCCCGATGCGGGGCTCGATCCCAGGACCCTGAGACCATGACCCGAGCCGAAGGCAGACGCTTAACCATCTGAGCCACCCAGGCGCCCCTCATTTTGGACTTCTGACCCCCAGAACTGTAAGAGAATAAATGTAGGTTATTCTAAGTCACCAAGTTGGTGGTAATCAGAAAGCAATACAGCACCCTCCTCCACCTCCCACCCCCACTCTGCCCCTTTCTCTCTCAGCTCTGTGTGTGGGAAGCTGACGCTCTCACGGCTGCACACCCTGGACCTCAGGCTCCCAAATAAGAACATCGCAGGGACACTGGAGGGTGGAAGGAGCAGGAGTAGTATCTCTTCCCTTCCTCTCTCCCTGCCTCTGATGGGGGCTGTATCCTGAGCAATTACGGATGGCCCTTCCCTGCAGGAGCTCTGCCCAGCTCTGGTCACACTGCTCCTCCCTCCCCCTCCTCTGCTGGGGGAACAGTGGTTTCCCACATGGCTTGTCGCTGGTGCTTCCACACCCATCGTGCCTTCCCTTCTAACCCTGCCTGCATCTCTGCAAACGAAGCCCTCATTAAATTCTTCTCAGAGTCCTAGCCCTCTGTCTCCTGCCGGAAACCTGCCTGATAACATAGGGTGTGAGCATCAAAAAAGATATCAGTTGATTTCTATGGGGAGGTTGAGGGAGCACTTCAGGAAGGAGAGTACCGGATGTTGCATTTGCAGGGTCTGCACGGGTAGGAATGGGAGACGGGGATGCTGGAACCAGGAAAGGGTTTTGAGCCAGACACAGGAGGTTTGGATTCTTGACCCTCTCCCCATAATTTTGTGTGAGCGGAGGCGACTCACCTGACTTCTCTGAGAGCTTGTTTGCCTGTCCCTAGAAGGGGCGGTGATGTGTACAGCTCTGAGGCTGAATGAGGAGCGCAGGGTTGGCATGTGTTGGGAGCACAATAAATGGTAGCTATTAGGCCCATGGGGGCATTCCAGGGATGAAGCAGCACCAGCAAGACAGGATGTGCCTCGGGAACAGCCAGCAGCCAGAGGGCCTAGAACAGGAAGACCTGGCTCTAGAAAGGTACATGGGGATCAGGGTCCGGGAGGCATTTAGAATCGGGGCCAAAACTTTAGATTCCATTCAGTTGGCAATGAGCAGCTGTGAGCAGGGAATGACACAAGCTCTCAGTGATGCAGGAAGGAAACAAGGAGAGTGAGAGAGAGACAGGACAGACAGAGAGAGACAGAGACAGAGAGGATTTAGAAGGTAGGACCTTTGGCAACTTCTTTGGAGAATTTTTCAAAGCCATCTATGTCTTCTTTTCTTTGTGCACAAAGGAGAAATGGAGCTAAACAGGACTCCAGAAGCATTGTATTAACAACTTGGGGCCTGAGAGCGATTGTTTCCTTGGGTAATATGTCTTCCAGTTAGAATTCTTGCCAGCCTAGTATTTGGGAGTGGGCTGGGAACAGGCAGGGCCTCCATGTTGAGTGCTCTGACTACAGGGCACTCCTGTAGACCCCGTAGAGCTGTACCAGGAGACCCGGGAGCAGGACTCATGCGGCACCTGACGGACGTCCCTCTTCTACCTGGAGCCCCCACCTCCTTCCCTCTGGGCATGGAGGTGGGGTGTACAGCCAGCCTTCAGGACCCTGCTAACTAATGGTGCCTCCTGTTTTTCCCTTTGACAGGAAAAGGAGGAAAAACCTGAGCCAGTCAACAAAGTTGCACAGGGTCACCTGGTAACTAAGGCTAGTGGAAACTGTCCCATCACTTGAGAGTCATGGTATACACCAAAGGTGCAAGAGAAAAGCACTATTCTATTTACCCAGCTACTCAGAGCCTGGCTCGCACAGAGGGGCCAGTCTCCTCTCATAGTCCATTTATCCTGTTATTGATCTTGTCTACTATACCAGTCATACATGACTTTGGCATCTTGTAAAATGTTGTCATTGTTATTTCCTTAAAGTGACTTCTTTGGAATACTTACTATATCCATCCATACTTTTTTGTTTGCAAGAGTCAGAAACCCAATTCAAACCAACTCAAGAAGACGAGGGAACTAGGAAGTCTAAGGGTATGAGCTGCAGCATCAGGCATGGCTGGATCCAGGCATAAAAACACTGTCACTAGGATTCTGCTCCTCTCCCCCAACCCAGGTCTGTTTCCTCTGCATTGGCTTTATTTTTCATCAGCCTCCTTCTCTGAAGTGGTCCCCAGGAGCTCCAGATTTGTTTTCTATAGGCCGACTACCCCAGAGGAAAGAGGGGAACTCCATTTTTCATGGATGTAATAAATGACCCAGAATGGAGTCCTCTTGTCTTGTCCAGGGTCATGTGACCACCCTGACATCATTATGTCAGGCATGGCAGGCTTTGGGTGGACAAGCCTTGGCCAGGTAGATGCCTGTCCCAAGTGGCCATCTCCTGAGAGGGGTGGTTCCACAGGAAAAGTATCCAGGCAAAGAGATTGAAGAGGAGGGTGGATATTGGGTTGGCCGGTAGAACAGGGGCCACCATATGTTCATTCCTAATTTTCTTTTTCAATAGCCTAATGTGCCTTCTAACACAAGAATGTATGTGCTAACAAATCTACATGTACAATGATTCACCACTGGAAGCATAAATTGGCTAGCTAAGTTGGTTGTATTCTTGCTCACATTTTTTGGGAGCCAGGGTCTGGGAAAAAGTCATGATATGGACCTTCAAGGAGCCTGGGCAGGAACAGCTGGACCCTTCTGCTTAATGCAGTTGTCCCCAGAGCGACAGGCAGCCGTGGCTAAGCAAACCAAGAAGACCCAGCCTTTCACTTACAGAGGGAGTAACAGAGCCAAGAGCTCAGGCCCAGGCAGGTCTTGAGACAGCGCTCTCTCTCTCTCTCTCTCAAGGAACTGGGAAGAGGCCATTACAGTGTTAGCTGGGTCCTTAAACAGGGGGTCTTGCCATATTACTCAGAATCTTTCAGTTACAAGCAACAGAAACTAAATTCAGACACGCTAAAGCAAAATAGAAATAATAAAATTCTCACTCACAATATATACACCACGACAATAACAATAGTAATTAATAGATTATATAATTTTAAACATAATCATATCACTATATAATCTAATTATTATTAATATCATTATAAATAAGATTATCTCCTGACTCCTATCATTTCAGGCACCCCTGGATCCAGGCGCTCAACAAGTCCTCAGGAAGTTGTAAGTCCCCATCTCTGGACACTTTCCTCAGTCACTGACTTCCCTGTCAAGTCCTGGGCAGCAGCAGGCTTACCTCCGCTCCGCTGGCCCAGCCGAAAGAGGACCCCTCCCCACAGTCCCAGGATTGGCCTTGATAGACTTTGGTCTTCCAGTTTATCTCTCAACTACTCTGGTAACCAAGGCAATGAGGTATGCGGATGGCCAGGCCTGGGGCCCGCACCGCCCTACCCCCTCACAGGGATCAGCTCCTTCCAGACCTCAAGGACTCAGCAAGGGGGAAGGGCCGTCCCGCAGAGGGGGATGATGCCTGCAGGAACAAACAACAGCTGTCCCTCACTCAGGGAGGGGGACGGTGGGGGAGCGTTGGAAGGACAGAAGCCGGCTGAGTGCCAAGCAGGAGAAGAAGGCTGTTGCAGGGGGAGGAGTCCGAGAGTGAGGAACGGTGGTGGGGAGGGGGGGCGCGGGCGGGTAGAGCCGGCTGGGAAGCAGGTGTGGGGTCAGAGTGGCAGGGGTCCCGGGCAGCAGAGCCGCTGGGCAGCCCTGAAGGTGGGGTAGAGAGCTAGACAGAAGCTGGGGTCGAAGGCCCAGGGAGCAGTTTGCAGCTAGGGAGCAGCCCTGTCCTCTCCAGCTTGGAGTCCGACCCGCCCTAGCTGGCGGACATGCCCTTCGCGCCTGAGGATCTTTCCTGCTGGGAAGCTTCTAGTCGCTGTCTTTCTGGGGTTGCCCCAGATGGCCAGGGGCGAAGGAGGACACTCCTAGCAGAAGGCATCGGAGCTGCCACTCTGAAGTCCCCCCCGAAGGGCTTCCTGGAGTCAGGAGGGTGTCGTTCTGAGTGCAGACATGGTGTGAGGGGGACGGGAGCTCCATTTTCTAACCAAGGCCAAGGACAGGCCCGTGGTGTTTTCACTGGGCTCTGGCACGGAGTCTGGTTCATGGATGGGCTTCGGGAAATGTCTGTGGAATTAAGGCAGCAATTTGGTGGAAGTGGGTCTCACTGCCCACAGGGAGAGGAGCTGCGTTAGTCCATCCCACCTATACCTGGCTGGGTGACCTTCACTTAGTCACCGACCCTCTCTGGGCCCCCAGGTTCCTCATCGGTCAAATGAAGGGGTTGGAGCAGCGGGGCCCCAGATCCCATCCAGCTCTAACAAGCTTTGGCGTGCTCCGCCGGCCACACGGGCTCCATCCCTTCCCTCTGGAGGCCCAGCTCCCCTGCGGGCCTTCCTGGTGCCCCTGGCGGAGCAGGCCTGGGCCAGCCGGGGCAGGGGGAAGAGGCGTGCAAGGCGCTGTAATTATTGTAAAGAGGAGAGTTTAAGTGTTTAGTTTTATGAGCTAGCCGGCCCTCTCTGTCAGCAGAAAGCCGTGCAGCTCCCCGGGTGAGAGTTAATTTCCTCCGTGGCTCGTTTCCTCGCCCGCCGTCATTTTTCTCTGCTGCTTTATGGCTTTTGAAGCCGTTCGGAGCACTGTGTGGTGGCGGTGGCTCCCCACACTGGAGCGGGAAGCCCCCCGAGCCCCCTTCCCGAGCTGGACCCAAGGGCAGCCTGGCCCTGCCGTGGCCAATGGGGCCGGTGAGCCCTGCGCCGGATGTGACTTGGGGACAGCAGGCTGGGAGGGCGAGAGGAGCAATGAGGTTGGGCCAGACTGTCCCCAGTCAGGCCATGGCCCCCGGCACTTCCTTGACAGGCTTGCAAGGAACAAGTCTAAATTAAATGGTGGTCAGGCCAGCCTTGTAGAGGTCCCAGGCACCTCAATTAAACAGTGCAAGAATTTGCCCTGTGGCTCATAGAGAGCAAGGGCGTGGGAACGCACCACTTTTGGCCTCAGACAGACCTGGGTCCAAATCCCAGCCACCACAGCTATCTCACCTGGCCAAGTGACTTTCCCCCCAGGCTTGCTTTCCTGAGCCACGCTGTCACTCAGAATGATTTTCCCGCCTCCTCTGTGAGCTGTGCGGAAGCCGGTCCCAGTGAGCCACCAGACGACCTCTAAAAGACGCCGTAGGTCCCCAAGACCAGGAGCAGCCTCTCACCCATTAGGCCTGGCCATGCACGTGATATAAGGACCCGCAAAACAGCCTTGCAAAGTAAGGACTGTTGGTCCCACTTCAGGCTGAGGGACCTGAAGTTCTGGGAGGCGAAGCAGCATGCTGAGACTCGCCCGGCTCTTAGGAAGCCAAGCCAGATGACAAGCAGTCCCGAGGTGGACGTCCTTAGATGCAAAGCCAAAGTGGAGTCCCTTTTCCAGGCTGTAGCCTGGCAGTTCTGAGCCCCCATCCCCTGATCGCCCATCTCTGCATGGCTCTAAAGAGTAAGGACAAAAAAGTCAACGGAGGCAGCTTGGTGTGCTGCGGACCCAGACCTGGGCTTGAACCCGCTATGCCACTTGTGACCTTGAACAAAGCATGCATTCTCTCATCCACCAAATGCGGACAGCAGCTACTTCGTGGGGCACTTGCAGGGGATTGAATTAAAGGAGGGGAGTCCTGTCGTTGGGTGCACACACAGTGAGAATGTTGTGGTGATATCCCACCCAGGCCCAGAGGGGCGGGGAACTGGGAGACCCAGGTTCTTTTTTGGATTCTGTCTCCATCTCTTGTTCTAACTTGAGCATGTAGCTGCCCACCCCAGTGAACCTCCTTCAGGCTGCAGACCCCTGAGAGACTTCATTAAGTTGTGGATCCTCTGCCCAGAAAACCGCACACACAGGACCCCGCAGATCTGGCAAGTAATTTCAGAGGTTCCTGTCTGTGCATCCTAGGGTAAGACCCCTGAGCGATGGTTCCTCCAGCCCTAACCTTCTATGACTTTGTGTGGGGCCTGGAGTGCGTTTCACGTGGTTACTCTTACCCTTTCTGAACCCGGCAGCACCTGGATTCAGAGATTGGCCCCGGCCTATAGTATCACCTAACTGTATTCTGGGGAGGAAAAGAAGCTGTTATAAAAGTCCAACAAGCCCCACAGTGGCTGGCTGGCTTGGCTTACCTCCCCCACGTTGAGGACATCTGTGGCTTGCCCCCAGAATCCCTCCCTTCTTCCTTCCGGAAACCGACCTCCAACCTCCTCTCAGGACTAACCCGTCTTGTATCTCAGCCTATGATTGGTGAGCTGATGCCACACCCACCTTCAGGAGCGGACCACCTGATTGGCCACCCAGCATATCCCCTCCCCCTGGCTGTGGCTATTCGTTCAGAGATGGTCAGTTAACAAAATTAGAGTCAATGAGACACGAGAATATTCCTAGTTTCTGGGAAAGCAAACCTGGAAGCGAGATCTTCACTCTTCCCCTGAAGGACATGGTATAAGATGAGAATGGCGGCAGCTATCTTGCTACCAGGAGGGGGTAGTGTGGAGCTGCACAGGTGGGGGTGGGGGAAGGCTCTGTGGGGAGCCGGAGGGTGACACTCTCAAGGAGGTCAGACAAGAGAGATGGAGAGAAGCAAGGTCTCTGGTGACATCTTTGGAGTTGCTGGACCAAGCCTCACCTGATGCTAACGTTACCTCCAGACTTCAAAACGGTATAGCTCAATAAACTCCCCTATGACGTAACCAATCAGACCTGAGTTTTCCTGTCACTTGCAACACAAAACGTTCTAACTGCAACTCTCTGCCAGCTGGACAGACTAAGAAAAGATCGGGAAGGAGAGCTCGGGAGTCAGGAAGACAAAATTCTTCCAAAGGATGTGGGAAATCGGAATATCCACCCACCCACCTAGTGCTGGGGAAACTTCAGAAAAAAGCCAGGGCTGAGAGCGTAGATGTATTTTTTGGTATTATTTGTCTGGACAGGAGGAAATGTTGGCTATTTTGAGTCTGATTAATCACCAAGTCCACAAATGTTTTTTGAAAGCCAGTCATATGCAGGACACTGCCCAGCGATGGAAGATACACGTACAAACAGGACAGTCCTCACACCAGGGAGCTGCCGGTCAGGTGAGGAAGACAGGCTCAAACAGAGCTCACCGGGGCGCAAGCAGGGCTAGGATAAGTGCCAAGATGGAGATCCAGACCACTGAGCCCTGGGAGCCCCGGGGAGCCCGGGCAAGAAGACAGGACCGAGGAGACAGGAGGCATGGTATCACCTCCACCCGGAGGCCAGCTTTTCCAAATTTACTACAAAGACACCTTAGGGGCTAGCATGGCCCCAAGCACCAGGTACACTGGGGGAGCAGTCCCTCCACACGTAGCCCTATCAAGTTCTCCAGATTCTCTGTTCCCCAAAGTTTGGAATGAGGACCCTGGCTGGTGGGGATTTTAGGAGGTTCTGAGCATGGCACCAGGCCACCTGTCTAAACTGGATGGTGAGAAAGTTGTTCCCTATGCAATTCTCTCTAAAACCTCCTATCAGGGACAAAGTCTCGGTTTGGTGCTGGCCTGTCTTTAACACCTCTTTAGCACTTGCTGACCCCTCCTCTTAGCAAAGAGAGGGGGAGAGAGTAGGCCTCAGCCTATTGCCTTCTGCAGGCAACAGGCTCTTGCTCAAATTCCCTCACACTGTTTTGTTTTTGTGGCATTTATTTTAACAGTTGTCTTCTATTTATGGCAAGTGATATTGGCTTTCCATTTATGGCAGTGATAAAAAGCTTTCTCTTACATTTCATTTCTGTAAGTTTTTTAAAGGGGGATGGTTGAAAGAAAAATATTAGCTAGTACAAGTGGGACACAGCTATGACCAGAATTGTGAAGGTGGGATGTGAATGACCCAAGTTTGGGGACTATTCATTGCACAAACACGAACTGCCTAACAGGTGGCCACGTGCTGGGAATACAGCAGGGAACCGAGCTGGCAAAACCCTGGCCTCACAGAGCTTACAGTCTAATGGGGCAGGAGAGAGGTAAACGTGAACAAAATAAATAAAATGCACGGTATGTTAGATGGCGGTCGGTGACCTGCATGAATGCAGAGCAGGGACAGGCCAGCAGGCATCCCCATGTATACTCAGTCTTGCAGAGCAGCCTGGTCAAGCCACACCGAAAACTTGGCAATGAGTGCAGGCTTGGAGGAAATAGAGCCATGGCTTCGCAGGCACCCAGGGAAGGAGCGCAGCAGGTAAAGGAAACAGAAGGACCCAGCCATGCTGCCGGCCCCTCCTGGCTGAGGCTGGGTTTGGAGACTCCTACTGGTCACAGCGACATGCCCCAGGAAATCTCACATCCATGCCCTGTCCTCCTTTCTTCAGGATGAAAAAGCGAAAAAGCGAAGGACAGTCTGCAGGGATGAGAGGTATCACCTGGAAAGCAGCCCCCCAGGGCACAGCTTGGGGTCACAGCAGCTTCATCCTGGCCCCACACTGGGCACAGGCGTGGCCCCACACGGAGACCAGGACCCATCCTGACAGGGCCCCGAGGGGCTCTGAAATCATTGCCTCCTGAGTCATCAAAGTGCCATTGATTTATGGTCAATAATAGTGCGGGGTGCTAAGTGCACTTTATTATTCCACTTTGTTGAAAATTGGTCATTTATCTGTGGTCCATCTGCAGCCCGGTGGGTAAGAAAGCCGAGAATCTGAACTGTGCTCCCCGATTTACAAGCTGCCTGCTTCTGGGCAGGTTCCTTTATTCTTTTGAGCTTTCATTTTCTTGTGAATCAAATGGGAGTACCACATTCAATGGCCCCTTGGTTTGCTCTTGGCACGTGTAGCCAGTCAATAAAATTGTCCTGTTCCTCCATATACCTAACTCTGCGTTACCCAGAATGCCCCATCTGCTTCCCCGAAAGGGCTCTGGCGGGAGGAGATGGGCAGGAAACCCGTGCACTCATTCGACCAGAATTTATTACTCCACACCAGGCGCTGTCCCAGTCACTGGAGGTACAGCAGCAAACAAAACAAAGACAGTGAAGGTCCTGATCCTATGGGAACGTGTCATCGAAGCAAGACAGGAGCTTTCAGTGAGAAAAGGACCACGAAGAATGTTCAGGGGAGCCAACTCAGATTGGGTATCCAGGGAAGGTTTTGCAGAAGGGGCAACACTGGGGTGAGAAGTGGTGTGCTCTGTAAAGGTGTGGGGGGAGAGCACTCCAGGCAGAGGGAAGAGCAAAGCAAAGTCCCTGACAGTTGTCTGAGAGACAGAAAGCAAGCCAGCTGCTGGGGAAGTGGGTGCTAGAGAGTTGAGTACAGGAGGAGGAGGGCAGTCAGCCCCTGTGGGGTTTGGGCAAGGGAGAGACCCCGAGGGGTGGCAGTGTGGGGAAGCCTGCCATTCCCATCCGGTGCCCTGGCCTCTTTGAAAGTGTCTCTAGACACCCGGGACTTGACACATAACCTGCGCTCCCACCCACGGGGCCAGGCCCTGCCTGCTGTCCCCCAGGGCCTCTGGGGTCAACTTAATTTTGACCAGACCCACAGGGCATCCACGTGCTGGCTGAACTTCCCTCCCTGAATGCCAGTTCTCCTCCAGGTTGGAAGAAAGCTCTGTGGTTTAGATGAAGGGAGGGATGAGGAGGAGGGGGAGAGAGCAAAGTGTGTTTGCTGGCACTGGGATCATAGCAGAAGCCAATGCTGGAACCCTTCCCAAGTATTTAGAAATTAAAATAATAAAAGAAAACTGAGCATATGGAGTTTGTAAAGTGCCGTCCATCTTCGAGAAGGGATCCGACTTGCTCAGAATGTGCAGCAGAGCTGTGGGCTGAGGGGATGTGGAGTAAAGATGGACACTCCTCTCTCAGGTGGGGACGAGGGGCAGGGGCACGCACTGCTCCAGGCACACAGAGTGTGGGGATCCCCTTTGGGTTGTACTTTTAAAAGAGGAGAAAGAATGTCCTCTACGTCTCCTCCCTAACTACACGGGAGTCCCCAATCCTCCCCCGCCTAGGGAATGCCCCCTCCACCCAGCTCAACCTCAAACATAGCTTTAAATCTTCCTCTTCTATATCCAACTCCAGAGTGGTCCTGTAGGCTCAACCTCTAAAACACACCCAAATGCCACTGCTTCTCACCCCCTCCCCATCTCCACTCCTGTCCAGCACCCTCCTCTCCCCCAGCTGACAGCAGCCCCCCATGCCTGGTTGCCCAATGCCTCCCTCCCCACCCCACCTCGTCCATCCTGTCCTACCCCAGCCACCAGATGGATCTCTCCAAAAACTTTTCATCCCACGTAGGATAAAAAGCTCAACTCCTCCCTGTGCCCTTCAGGTCCTGCATGACCCAGGCCCTCCCTGCTCCCAATATCACTGGTCTTCTTTCTGTCCCTCAAACAGGCCAATGTCCTTCTTCCCCAGGGCCTTTGCACATGCAACCCCCTCTGCTGAGCACACTCTTCACCCTTTTTAGGACCAGTTCCTCGTTCGGGTCTTAGCCCAAATGCCACCTCATCAGAGAAGCCTTCCCTGGCCACCTCAACTAAAAAAACCACCTTTCCAGTTCCTTTTGACTTCACTCTATTTATTTCATAACTATCACTATCTGAAATTACCTTGTGTGTTTTTCTGTTTGCTTGACTTGCCCCTCTGCCGTGTAAGTGCCGTGAGCCCCGGACCTGTCTGTCCTCTTTCCTGCTGTGCCCTTCATACCTGGAACAGTGCGGGGCCCAGAGCGGGCCCTTCGCAGACATCTACTGAATGGAGACTGAGTGAACGCCAGAGCCACCTGGTGTATTTGGGCATCAACCAGGTGTTTAGGTAGCACCACGTACAGCCTTGCAATTGCTGAGTGGCAAACATCACTCAGAACTCATGAGGTTCTGGGGGAGCCCACGTGGTCATGAGTCAGGGTACTGTGGAGTGAGCCTGTTCGTAGCCAAATCACCAGACAGCATGTGCGGGGGGCTCCCCATCCTGATGGAGCAAGAAACCAGGCAAGAAAACTTGACTTGCCCCTCCTGGAATTGGGAGCCCACCTGGGAGGCTCAGGTGCCTCCATCCACCCCAGGTGCTCAGGTGTCCCAGCTAAAGAGGTGAGCTGGCTGGAAGGGATAGGCAGCAGGACAAAAGCGGAAGGCAGGTGTCCTGTGAGCCCTCTGGGGTAGGAGACCTGGCCAGCCTGGGGGCCCTGAGGATCCTTGAGGGGTCTTGAGTGCCTTGTCTTGGGTGTGCAGAGGTGGCTGTGTGGACACGTGTAGACACTTGTGGGGGCC